ATCAGGTTTTCATCACAGCCGCTTATTTATTATTATTTTTACGTTACTCGTGTTGTGCAAAGTATTCCTAGCGAAGAACATCTCTTAACTTTGGGTAAGATCGAAGACATAAGGGAAACGGCTCCCCCTCAATCCATTAATAGCAAAGATCTAGATGGATTAAATTCCGACACGGAAGTTTACAACACAAAGTAAACGATAACAAAACAACATAGATCCTGCTATCGAACTGATGATGATACGAAACATCAATTGTTATTTTTAAAGCTTTACCACCTATTCGCTAAAGTGGAGAAATACACTTCAGTTTTGCAGCTTAAACAGTTCACCTTTTTAAATCAGTGACGCAGAAAAAAAAACACACAATAAATTTGGGATCAGGATGTCTACCTTGAAAAAACGTCTTTTGCTGTGTAGGCAGCTAAAGTGTAGACAGTTTCTAAACGGGGAAGGGGTAGGGGGGCAAAAATTAATCCGCGCTTTGCCTCCCCCTCCCCCGTTGAACGCCGGTTAGGCAGACTACAATTTCTCGTGACGATGGGACTCTTAAGGGGAGTAGGGAGAAAAATACATTAACGTTTCCCGTGCATGCAACCTTCCCGGCGTGTTCTGACAGTACTAGCCTACGTTGCAAGCGTCCCGTGGGAGAGGGCGAAAGGGTAAATTCTCGAAGCGCTAAATTTGGCGCGAGAGCGAAAACCCGACGGCGGAATCGGTGTTGGTGGGGCGAGCGAGGGAACACCCACTATTCCCCAATTCGTTGAGCCTCAGCCCCCTTCCCCTCCCTCTCTTCCCCCGTTCTTCTTCTTCGTCCCTTCGTTTGCTTAAATTTACATGTTTCAGTTGTTTACGTACTTGGTCTACTTCTATACCAACAAACTAAATGCTTTGTTTTTTAAAACGTTCACTTGCGTTAGAAACATCGACCTCGTCAAATTATTTTACTTCGAAATGCAATGGCGTGTACGGAAACTATACACAGTGCCCAAAATGACACTTTACCGTCGAGGACTGGCCATGACGACAAACAG